GCCTGCTGGGACTACAGGCCAGTTAAAGAGCAGACTCCTTCAGGATAACGTTATAGACTCACTTTTGCTTGGGTGGCATGCTGCTTTTGCAGTTTATTACATTGGGAGGAGATTAGGCTTGATGCTCATATTTCTGCAGTGGGTAAAACATCAGATTTTGACCTGCAGGAAGAAGGGTGGCAGAGTTTGGGGCAGGGGGTAGTTAGATGGCAGGGTAGATTTTGCACTTTATAGACTAACCAAAGTTAGTAGGTGACCAGTGACCTACATGACTTCCTTCCACTCTCTGCAGGAGCTCTCGCGCTCAACTGAGAGAGCCTAGAGCAATGTTTCCGCTTGATGTCTGCACAGGCCACCCGTCCCTGCTGAGTAGCATTGCATCACATTAGGCTGCAATGATGCGGGAACTTCCCATCTTCTCTTCTCTTGGGGACGTTCCCTCACCTGCACCTCACAACCCTCTCCACAAGGTCTGACTGTCTCCATTCAGGTGTCTCACGAGGTCGTTGCCAAGGAGGGAGAGCAAGTGGCCCAGGATAATTTTGAGAGGTCCTCAATGCAGGAAGTCCACAGTGCTTGCAGGGGGAGGTCAGGTCCCTGGAGAGATCGGCTGCACAGCTATTCTTCAGAGCACTTCTGCTCACATCACCCAAGTCTGGTCTAGCTTCACCGTTAAGCCTGAGGTGTGTTATTCATTGCTGACTTTGGCTAAGCATTGGACAAGGTGCTGTAAAAGTTGATGCACCGTGAAGATGCACGGCAAGTTTTTCAGGAAGGAAAAGGAAATGCAGAACTGGGTAGTATGTGTGTACTGAAGGTACCCCCCTGAGTGCAGTGTCTTTCCCCTCTCCGTTGGTGGCTCCGTACTGAATCTGACTAGGATACAAGAGGAGACAGTCTGGGACTTTGGAGGCAGATCTTCTCTGGTAGATCCTTTTCTCAGAGAAGTAGAGTAACCGCCTAACTGGGCGCGTCTACCTGAGACACTAAATGCGCATTAGACATTTTATTGCACATTAGCGCATCACACAAAAAGTGTGCCGATGCACAGTAGATTTATTCTAATGCGCACTTAGCATCACAAAAAAAAAGTCCGTCTGTGCTAATGTGCAGTAGTGCCAATTGCAGCGCATTAAGTTAGTACCTGTAGGCACTTATACATATGCTGGATGTCTGCTTCAATATGTGATAATTGGCATGCATCAGAGCAGACTTAATTAATCGAGTCTGCTGGAGCACAATAATTAACATACTTCAGCAGCCCCTGTGTCATGTCTGTTTAGTGTCCCTGTACTTCAAAATGGTGGTGGAGGTGCTTGAACTGAAGGCTGTTGAACGAGCTTTAGTTCAAGTACCTCCACTGCCATTTTGAAGCCTGGGGCACTGAATACACATGACACTGCAGGGGCTTTAATTGGAGTGGCTTTTGGTGCTACTCTAATTAAAGTGCCCCTGCCACCCTGGAACACATGATTAGATGCCCTGTGATTACAGGTACTAAACTTAATACACCATCATTATGGCACATTAATGAACGTCTTATGCCCACTCCCTGGCGCATGCCAAAGGGCTGCATGTCCTGCGGGATTGTTGTATATCCCCAGGACAGTTCCAGCAAGACTGGAAGCAGCGTGCATTTAGGGTTGGGTCCCTGAGTTAGCAGAAGCCCAGAGCTAGGGTCATCTCCCCTCATGGTGCACAGGAGTGGCTTTGCTCAAGGTTCATGGTATTAGGCAGTTATGTAGGGTTTTGTATGTTAAGAACATGCATTTTTACCAGTTTCCATCAAACAAGACCACTTTAAAAGAAGCCAAGAGAAACCACAGGGCTTGTGGGTTGCTTTGCTTTTAATAAAGCAGGGAGGAGGAGGTGGCACAAGCAGGAGCGGAGTTGCCGCAGTAGCGCAGAAGGTTCATTGGTTGTGCAGAGGCTTCCCCAAAGGGCACGCGTGTGCAAGAAGCATGGTCTGTGTGTGAGCCCCTGTGGCATGGTGAGTGCTCCATCACTTGGGCAGTGCCGCTGTCAGCCCTCATGATACCATAACGTATTATTGCTGTTTCCCAGGTTCTCCCAGCTAGCGAAATCTGGGAGAACATGACAAGTTTCGGACAACTTTTAAAATGAATAAACATTTCAAATAAGGAACCTATGATTATTTTTTTTTGCATGTAGCTTTTAGGCTCTGTTTTTAAGTAGCCATTAAAGGTTTTAAAACCTTATTCTAAATGTAAAGTGCTTCAGGGCATTGTTTGATTTGAAAGGCACTGAAAACTGGAATTTTCATTATATATTGCCAAATTTAGTTCATTTGTGAAGGACATGGCTTCATCAGCATGACTTCTGTCATTTGCAAAGTTGCTGTGCCCTGTAAAGGTTTATTAATCTTTGTTTAATGTGTTCTTGTGGAAAAAAATTAAACATACAAAGAATAAAGCTTATGTATGCGCTGTGAGTCCCTCTGGGTGTTCAATCTATATTACTCATGTCTGTGAAAGGTAAAAATGGCAGGTTTTATTCGCTAAGTTCAAGACACAAAAGGCAATATTAATTTCATAGAATGTGTAAAAGATATGCAAATATGACCAACTCTAGGGAAAATGGGGCACACAATATTCCAGGTTTTGAAATTATACAGTTTAATAAAGACTTGCTTTGAATACTCCTTTTTAAAATTTTTTTAAATTTTTTTTAAGCCTAGGCTTCTGTTGTTAAAGTTCATGTAGTGCATCTCAAGAAAGACCTCATACTCCCAAGCATGATCTACCGTGCTGCATACTGTTAAAAGATTTGGATCTGCTTCTCGGCAATGTAAAGCCTTGTTTTCAGCTTTGTATCATATCTCAAGATGAATTTACATATGTTTTATTTCATGCTGTGCTGTTGCTTTCCCCGAGCACTCGGGAATCACGGGTCCAATCTAACTCACTTCCTGCACTATATCTTCCTGCTCCTGTGTTAAGCTGAGGCCTGTTTTCACCCGGCAGGCCTTTCCTTTAATTTCTTTAATCAGCTTGGTGCTGTCTCAGACCTAAATGTGTTGCAAGGGGTCTCTCTGGGTCAGTCCCTTCCCTCTTCCTTTTTTGCCTTTGGGCTGCCAAAACAGGGAAGCCTGATATCTGCTGTCTTAGAGGATGGCGAGGTTAGTCGGCCTCCTTGCTTGTCCAGTTTGTCCAGCTTCTGGAGCGGTGCCTATTCCCAGATCGTAGCATGCTTTGTTGTGGGAGTGCAAGAGTGATGGATTTGGGGGGGAATGTCTTTTATTTGGATAACTGCATAGCTGGGGGAGATTTTAAGTTTTCAGGCAGGTGACCTGAGGAAGAGCATCTTGTGCCCAAAAGTTTGTCTCAACCTCTCAGCTATGCATTTGGTCCAGGAAAAGATACCACACCGAAAAATCCTTGTATCTCACATGAGATGATAAAGATAGGTAGGCACTTGCTTATTCCCATAACTAGAGAGAAAAAGGGTATGATCTCTGGCTGTTAATGAGCTTTAAACATTTAAAGGTGCAGGTGTTGTAGTCACGTTGGTGTAAGGACGTTCCTATGCCCTTAAACATATAAAGGAATTTAACTGTGGTATGCACTTCATAAAAATCTACATATGCACTGTTTATAGCCAGCTCCTCTTGTAAGAGGAGGTGGTTACAACATCGGTTTAACAGCATTTGGTTGGCCAATAATACTGTTAATTGTTTTCTAGACTGCTAACAGAACTAGGTGATCAAAGGTACTAATATGCTCCCTGTTGCTATAATGTTCCTAGGCCAGTGCAAAGACAGGTATTTCAGGTTACAAGAAGCAAGGTCATGTGCAGGTGGGAAAAATCACACTTCTGCTATTGGAGTGTTTCATTGTCGTTGGTACAACCTGGATACCTGACATCATTGTCCTTGCTGGCATTCATTGACACATAGGCAGAAGGCAGTACAGGGTGGCCTGGCTAAATACGTCCAGACTAACATGGCTAAGTACCTCTCTCACTGACCTGCCGGGTGACCCGCTAAGGCAGACAGGCCAAGATTTAAAAGCATGTTAGCACCAAAGTGCCTGGCACTTGGGATGTTCAGCGTGCAGTTCTGCTCTAAAAACTGATTGTGAAAAAGGTACCTCCGTAGGATACATTGACTTGCATATCAGCTATGCGGTCAGGTTTAAAAATAAAGCTCCATTTTGTGGTAACTCCCAGCCCTTGAAATGCCACTTAGAAGCCCCAGCAGACTTCTTTCCTTTTGCGCAGTCGCCAGTCAGCAGTGTCTCTGCTAGCCTAATAAGGGTACGGGTACACCTGAGCACCTGCGGTGCTGTCCCTGGGATCCAGCAGGTGCGATTGATTGAAACTTAGTGCATCCTGTTCCTGCTGGGTGGGGAAGACGACAACTCAGTCTCTTTTGTGTTGGCTCGTAGGGCTCGCAGGGGCAAAGGCAGCGGGAACTCAGCTCACCGAGAAGATTGTGGATACAAATTGAGTGTAACAGGTACGTGTTTTTACATGGTTACTCTTGAAAACAGATACTACTTTCAAGAACTTTTGATTGCCTGTTCCACAAAAAAACCCAAAAAACCTCCCCTCAGCTTGTTAAAATGTGCTTTTAAAACATTATATTTGCTTATTTGTAGGAGAGGGTTGAGTCCACAATGATTTCAAGGATAAATTATTGGGCCTGGAAACTTCCATGAGTGGTGGGGCTTAATGCCCTCTTTCTATTCTTTGGTATCTCCACATGGCTTTTGTAATGAATGAATCTAGCTAAACCCATGCAGGCCCCTTGCTTGGGTGCAGTTTATGGCGTTATAAACATGTTTTATATTATAGGAATTAAGATTTGTAAACTTGTTTATTGTATGTCAGAGCTTCATATTGATGGGGAAGTTAAGGAAGAGATTTTTAATGATGAACTTGTGGCTGTTTGTTCTTCCAAGTTTATGTATAATAGTCTAGAGCTTAGCCTCCCTTTTGATGAGAGAGGTGTGCCCTCATCATGAAGTATGCGTTCTCTCTTGCCCTAGTGACCATCACCTGCTGTAAACAGTTACTGAAATATTAGCCGGTCTGTGTGAAGGTTATGCTGTTCACCTTTTGCTTTTTACGCTGAGTTGATATTTATTCTCTCTGTCTAATCACATTCTGCTTCCTTCAGAGCAGCTGCAAACTTTGCACCCATCATGTAACTGTAGCTCTGGTCTATGGCTGGAGAGAGCTACTGAAAGAGTAGCCGTGACCTTGTAAATCAACAATTTGCAAAAACCGATGTTAATTCATGAGCTCTCCTTTCTCCAGACCAACATATCTTGGGTTTGTGCACACACAGCACATCGCTAGCTGACCTTTCCTCTAGAGGTTGATTTTTCTCTGGAGCCAAGATATGCAAACTTCCGGGAGTTTGCAATGCCAAAGACCCTTGATATCTCTCTTCAAACGGAGCTCTGTGAATCTTGACATATGTTGGTGTCTCAGTTTGTGTCTCTTAAACAGTAATGAGGATTTTCCTGTGAAAGCTATCTGCTGCTCTGGTAGGTTTGGAGATGCTGAGTTTGTCTGTCTTGGCTCACAAGGTAGGCAAGAAATCCATGGGATTTAAGCACATAGACATCTGAGGATCTGGCCTTGAATGCTAACAAAGCATAAAGTAGCAGCAGAGTCTTATGTCTCCAGTTTCCACGCTGTATTTCCCAAACCACTGGCTTCTTTGCACTTAGTTGTTACCTACTAGGCGGGTGGTTAAAAGGACTGCACAAATGTGAGCCCTTCCGTTGAGATTTGGATCCAAGCAGCTGGCTTCATGATGGCGATGGATTGAAGACAGTAGGATGCGTGATTATTCTGTCCTTAAAACAAACAGAGAATTTCCTTGCTGCTGCTTTGCTTGTGTGTGCCAGCATCTAGAATGCATAAGGCGCTATTCCCACTGGGACTGACATCTGTCATTTCGTTTTAATCATTAACTCAATCTTAAAACAAGCCACATTTCATAGTCAAGGAAGAAGCTGTCATGAAAAGTCAATTGAGTCTGAGTGGTAGTGTTGCATTTGAAAACTTGTTTTCAATTTGAAATCCTATGCGTATGTTAAAAACAACTCATGGGGGATATATGATCATTAATATTAATTTATTTTTTGCCAGATTGACACATGAAGAATGAAAAGTGCTACCTTTTAAAAGACATTCACACAGGGCAAATATGTGTAAAATAGGAACCTACTTTGCCAGTGGCTTTTGCTATATGGGTGGAGGTGTTTTTGCTACAGCTATGTTGTGTTCATTATTTACAATATTAATATTAAGATAGCTATGCGTGTTTCCAAGACAAGCTTTTCCAGAGATGGTTTCCAATATTACCTTATAGTGAAAGTGAGATTCCTTACCATCACCTCTTCCCTACACCTTGCCGGTTTTACCTCTCAGCTGTCAACAGACCTATAAATACTTTTTCTGGACCATGCTGTAGTATTTTGGGGACGACACGCAGCACACAGTTCAGGGTTCACCTGATGCTCTGGATGTGGAGAGATGCACCAGTCAAATACAGACAAAAACATAAAGTGCTTTTTAACAATTCCTACATATGTTCATTAAATAACCATTTTTAAAAAGGGACTCTTACAATCAATATTTAATGCATCTCCTGTTAGACTATAAAATATCACCCATTGCTGCTGTGAATGCATTTAGGAGCTGCCTTCAAATTGGTTTGGAGCCAGACATTTTCTTCAGTGGTATTCCCTCCTATCTCGGAGCCTGCACTACGGTGCATTATGCCTGCGTCTCTTGGGCATGATTTGTAGTGTGTGCACAGTGTTGCACTATGGTGGCTCTTGCATCTGTTTTGGGCGTAGTGTGCAACAAGCAGGTGTGCCATGCTTCACAGTGGCAGTCCCTAATGTAAGCCTGCCCTTGGTGCCTCTGACCTGAATTGAGCTGATGCTCTTGCTTCCTGCTCTCATATTTGCAAGGAAGAAGGAGGCAGAAGGCAGGTAGTGGCCAAAGACCACTCTTCTCCTGTCCGTGGTCTTTTCATTGGCAAATGGAGTACTAATGTTGTAGCACTTGGTCTTGTTTTCAGTCCGGTTGCTGGGATTTGAGCTTTCCTTAAACTAATGACCACTTCTTGAGTGCCTGCATGCAGAAGGGATACTCTGCTGAGGATGGCACCTCTGAATGCAGGGTGAGTTTCATAGTTTCTAGGGTCGGAAGGGACCTGAGCAGATCATCTAGTCTGACCCCCTGCCATGGCAGGAAAGAGTACTGGGGTCAAACGACCCCAGTAAGGTGGTCATCCAACCTCCTCTTAAAAACCCCCAGGGTGGGAGCCTGCACCACCTCACTTGGAAGCTGGTTCCAGACCCTAGCCGCCCTGAC